CCTAGTAATAATAACCACCCATTTAAGTTATTTTAAAAATTAATTTTCAAAACATGTCATATGGCTAGGGAGAAAAAAAAAAAAAAAAGAGATATTTATAAAACTTAAATAAAGGCATACAAGCTTTAAGCCAAAGCACTCAGATCTGGAGGTGTGAATTCAGGCTCCCAAGTCCAAATTTAGACATTCAAATAAACTCCTGCATCTTCGGAAGTACAGCTGAAACCTTTTTTCTATATCCAACAGTTTGGCTAGCCATTTCACTAGAATTTTGATATAGAAAGGGGAAAAACAGACCTTGGTATTCTGTCTTGTTATGATTAATTCATAATTCAATGGTCCCAGTGCTTATTCCACATTGTAAAGTGACTATTTCTCTTGCTGAAAGCTAACGCAAAAACATGAACTTGGAGGCTATAATCTCCGCTATCAGTCTTCATCATTTCCACAATAATAATTCTTAGCAGAATAAAAATATTTTAATGCATTAAATAAAGCCTTTTATGGTTCCCAAGGTGAGTATATATTTTCTGCATTAATTCTTTCAAAACAATCAAAATATATATACTTTACCTACCTGTGGCACAGCAAGAGAACATTTTGCTACAGCATCATAAGCCTTCTTATACCTTCCCAACTCATTCAAGGCTTTAGCTTTCCGATAGAGAGCTCGGAAATTGTTTTCATTCAACCTTAATGCTATTTCACAGTCTTCTAGAACTTTTTCATGCAAACCCTATGAGGGGAAAAGAGGAACTGGTTTAAACTGTATTAGATTAAGGTATTAAAACACTACATAACATTCAGCAAGGCTACTGTATACTGCATATATGAATTTTGCTAAGCCACCAACTTACCCAACTAAAAAGAAGCAGGGATATCATTCTTGCAAAATCCAGTAAAAAAAAAAGATGAAGACAAGTTAATTCTTTCACAGGAACCATCTTAGCCCACGGAGAAAGTGGCAGATTCCAGTGCCAACAGCAGTATAAATGCAATAGTTCTGTCAACTTTCAAGTCTAGTATGACTCTTTTATGTTAATATGATTATTCTAATACTAGTAATTAAAAATATCTAGACAACTATAATTCTAAAAATAAGGAATTAAATCTGTCAAAATGATGATTTCAAACAGGCCAATTCTCAAACTAACACCAAGAGTTCCTTACTCACTAGACAATTTTATGTGCTTTCATACTCTGTTGATGCATTGTCCTTGAGAAATAAAGAGTTCAAAAAGAAGCTTACCATATTTGAATAACATGCTATCCTGTTTACATGCAGTTTCTCTAATATATCATCAGAAACATGGATTTCTTCAGAATTAGCATAATCTGCTATGTTTATAGCTTCTGTATAGTGACTCAGTGATCCTCTCCAATCGCCTTCTCGATATACGTCATTCCCTTCATTAAAGAGATTTCTAACAAGCTCTCGTATAAATAACTGGAACAAAGAGATGAAACACTCATGAACAGCAGTATTTGTTGTGTATTTTCCACACTTCCCAACGTATTTAAACAGAAATATTATACCTGTAAGTTCACAGATCCAATACGAAGCGCAAAACTTTTGTCTACATTAGAGTTTTTCTTCTGACATTTTTCTAAGAAAGTTTATAATATTCAGCATCACAACACATGAATACAAAAGACAGGCTGAGCTACTGATAAAAGAATAATTTTGTATATGTAACTTAAAAGATACCAAAGTGTTTGTTGCATTCTTTTGGCAACCAGCAGCCACAGCAACAGGCAAGCCAGAAGTACACAAAGGCTGCTTTTGCAGCACGAAAGAATTTGTAAACTAAAATGTGAAAGACTACATTCTAATCTAATATGTTCTGAAAAGTAATGAAAGAAATCGACTGTTTGGATGAAAATGTTAAAAAGTGTGGAATGAAGTCAAAAAAATCTCCAAAACAATAATATGTACAGAAACACAAAAGATGTTACATAAATCTATGTGACTCAGGTCCTTTTTATCTCACTTCTTCAGAGATACTCTAAACTGTACTCAGAATAGCACATGGTTTGATTGAATGAATGCCCAAAACTCATTCCTAGCACCAATAGAGAAAAAGTTAATTCGTGCTGCTATATAAGTGACTTATGAGCACCCAAATATATGAATACCTGTATCATAACGTAAGTACTCCTCCGGTTCCAGTGTTCAGACATTGTGAATTATCATTCACATTCTAACAATTACCATTGATTAAAAACAAGGATAAATATAATAAGATAGCCCCATTTTAAAACCCTTCCGGAAATGCAAAGATAACTGCATTACCTCATATTGTTCCTGTGTCCCTGGATAGGGCAGAGTAGATCTATTAAAAAAAAAATATATATTATGGTACACATTGCTCAAAAGATAATCACCCTGGAGAAAACTGGTTCTTACAAAAGGCAGTCTCGCATGCTGCAACAGGCTAAATTCCTAAATATTATTTATTTTCTGCACTGAACAAGATAGGAGTTCTGTACAATAGTTTTGATTAAACAACTGTATGTTTTCTTAAACAACTTAACTCAAAATGCGTAAGAAAACATACAGTTGTTTGAAGTTACATAACCAGTTTTAACTCTGCTGTTCAAGAGACATTAAGATTTGGAAAGTCTGAATTTAAAGCCTCAATATTGTTTGTTTAAAACAATTTATTTCCTCTCCTCCACTGTGCAGAAACAACTTAGATATGAGAACTGCAATCTTTCTGTAAGTATGATGAAATGACAGATTATCTGTCATAAGAATACATCAATTTTAATTAAGTTGTATCAGTGGCGCTAGAAGAGACTTAAAAGAGTTCCTTCCTATGACACTATGCAAACTTGACACCCGCAAGTCCATGGGCCCTGATGGGATGCACCCACGAATACTGAGGGAGCTGGCAGACGTCATTGCTAGGCCACTCTCCATCATCTTGGAAAGGTCCTGGAGATCAGGAGAGGTGCCTGAGGCCTGGAAGAAAGCCAATGTCACGCCAGTCTTCAAAAAGGGCGAGAAGGAGGAGGGAACTACAGGCCAGTCAGTCTCACCTCAATCCCTGGAAAGGTGATGGAACAGCTCATCCTACAGGCTATCTCTAAGCATGCGGAGGACAAGAAGGTGATCAGGAATAGTTAGCATGGATTCACCAAAGGGAAATCATGCTTAACCAACCTGATAGTCTTCTACGATAGGATAACTGGCTGGGTAGATGAGGGGAGAGCAGTGGATGTTGTCTCCCTGGACTTCAGCAAGGCTTTTGACACTGTCTCCCATCCCATCCTTGCAGGTAAACTCAGGAAGCGCGGGCTGGATGAATAGATGGCGAGGTGGATTGAGAACTGGCTGGATGGCCGAGCTCAGAGGGTTGTGATCAGTGGCATAAAGTCTAGCTACAGACCTCCAACTAGCAGTTTCCTCAGGGGTCAGTACTCGGTCCAGTCTGGTTCAACTTATTCATCAGTGACCTGGAGGAAGGCACAGAGTGCACCCTTAGCAAGTTTGCTGATGATACTAAACTGGGGGGAGAGGCTAACACACCAGAAGACTGTGCTGCCATTCTGAGGGACCTGGACAGGCTGGAGAGCTGGGCAGAGAGGAACCTCCTGAAGTTCAACAAAGGCAA